ATCACACGTACGCGTTTACAATTTCCAGTTTCTTATTGGCCCGTGATTCGATCATCATATTTTTGGTATCCGGATCGGGATTTTTTCGGATGGATGCACGGCAGCTAACGGTTAGCAGGATCCGGATCCTGCTAACCGATCCTGCTAACCGTTAGCAGCCGTATGAGAACATAGCCATAATTGACTGTTGTGGATGACAAGAAACTAGCATTTGGGTGATGGAGTGCCTGTTTTTGTTCATAATAATTCAGGGGAGATTTAAGGGGGGGGGGGGCTGGTCCCAGTCCCCCACCTTTTGCAAAGTAACCCCCGCTCCATTTTGCAAAGTCAAAATTTAAAAGAAAAAGAGAAAGAAAGAAAAAGAAATTCTTCGCCAAAAACTTCGCAGGGCATGACTGGCGGGGCATGCCTGGACCCACCCAGTATAGTGTTATGTTGATCGGCCGAACTTTCGGACACATTTTGGACATCTCTGGACCCGACCCTGTAATTTACAATATATTAAATCTAAGAGTAGAGACCCTAGCCCTAGCCTAGGCTGTAGGCCTAGGCCTACGCCTAGTAGGCTAGTCCTGAACTGAGTAGGAAGTGTAAGTGGTTATTTTCCACCGTACCGTGGCTGGAATATATAGTCACTAAAGTTGTCTGTCTGGAAAATGCCCTCCCTAATGAAATTTCCCATCATCACACACATGCTTATATATTTCATTCAACCTCCAAGCATCTTCTCTAGGCCCTAGGCCTAGGCCTTCGCTAGGCTAATTCGTAAGAAAAGAGAACGGCCAACTCACTGAACATATGACTGCCAATTGACCCTATTCTTTCTGACCTCGTTTGCTTCCTGGTCAAACTTATTAGTTGGTGGTAAGCCGTACGATGCATTGCCAATTTCACTATTTTCTTCGGTGCTTTCTTCTAATATTTTAGAATACGACATTTTGCAAATTAAAACACTCTAAAATTATCGACGAACCAAAACACAATTCTTCATTAATTTGCTGCTCATGTGATGGCATACTGCCCTCTAGAGGCATTATGTCTTGGCGCTATTTATAGGAACATCGGAACGGTAAGCGTTATGTGGGCGACACTACTGTAGGTTCATGAATAATTAAGTAGCAATATAAATTGAATATTCATTTAACCAGAGTAGAGCCCTGTGAGTAGTGGTACAAGTTCCAGCGAACACAAACTGCAAACTGCAAACTTCTTTCCGCTTGTGAAAGTACCGTACAATACTGTATTGCAGGTGTTATTTTATGGGCACCGCCACCGCTACTGCATTATGGGCACCGCTACTGCAGGTGTTGTTATATTTTATATATCAATCCTTAGATGGGCACCGCTACTGCATTACGGGCACCGCTACTGCAGGTGTTGTTATATTTTATATATCAATCCTTAGATGGGCACCGCTACTGCATTACGGGCACCGCTACCGCAGGTGGTGTTTTATTTCATATTATACATTAATCCTTTAGACGGGCACCGCTATTGCAGGTGTTGTTATATTTTATATATTAATCCTTAAATTTATTTATTTATTATTTATTTATTTATTCTTTCTTTATACTGTAGGCATTTTCAGTACTATTACACTGATTTTCAAAGTGGTACACTTTAAACGTAACAAAAATATATACAGTATAAAGAATTGTTTAACAAAAAATTGAAAAAAAATATAGGCACCACTACTGCAGGTGTTGTTATATCTTATACATTAATCATTAGATGGGCACCACTACTGCAAGTGTTATTATATTTTAAATATTAATCCTTAGATGGGCACCGCTACTGCAGGTGTTATTATATTTTATATATTAATTCTTAGATGGTCACTGTTACTGCATTAATGGGACCACTAATGCAGGTGTTGTTATATTTTATATATTAATCTTAGATGGGCACCACTATTGCAGTTATGGGCACCGCTGCTGCAGGTGTTGTTATATTTTATATATTAAATCATTAGATGGGCACCACTACTGCGTTCCAGCGAACACAAACTGCTAGCTGTCTTGCACGAACATTTTTTTTCCGCTTGTGAAAGTACCGTAGAAAAAAAGAAATATAGTATTCTTTGTAATTACTGTACTGCAGGTGTTGTTATATTTTATACATTAATCCTTAGATGGGCACCACTACTGCGTTCCAGCGAACACAAACTGCTAGCTGTCTTGCACGAACTTTTTTTTTCCGCTTGTGAAAGTACCGTAGAAAAAAAGAAATATAGTATTCTTTGTAATTACTGTATTGCAGGTGTTGTTATATTTTATACATTAATCCTTAGATGGGCACCGCTGCTGAATTATGGGCACCACTACTGCAAGTGTTGTTATATTTTATACATTAATCCTTTAGCTGGGCACCACTATTGCAGGTGTTGTTATATTTTATATATTAATCCTTAAATTTATATATTTATTTATTCTTTCTTTATACTGTAGGCACTTTCAGTACTATTACACTGATTTTCAAAGTGGTACACTTTAAACGTAACAAAAATATATACAATATAAAGAATTGTTTAACAAAAAATTAAAAAATATAGGCACCACTACTACAGGTGTTGTTATATCTTATACATTAATCCTTAGATGGACACCACTACTGCAGGTGTTATTATATTTTATATATTAATCCTTAGATGGGCACCGCTACTGCAGGTGTTATTATATTTTAAATATTAATCCTTAGATGGGCACCGCTACTGCAGGTGTTATTATATTTTATATATTAATTCTTAGATGGGCACCCCTATTGCATTAATGGCACCACTACTGCAGGTGTTGTTATATTTTACACGTTAATCTTAGATGGGCACCACTACTGAAGTTATGGGCACCGCTGCTGCATATGTTGTTATATTTTATACATTAATCTTTAGGTGGGCACCGCTACTGCTGGTGTTGTTATATTTTATATATTAATCCTTATTTATTTATTTATTTATTATTTATTTATTTATTTATTTATTTATTCCTTACACTATAGGCACTTTCAGTACTATTACACTGATTTTCAAAGTGGTACAGTTTAAACATAACAAAAGTATATACAATATAAGAATTGTTTAACAAAAAATAAAAAGAACATATAGTATGGGCACCACTATTGCAGTTATTGTTGTTATGAACACCCTAAAATTAATATGGATATGAACAATATGAAATAAATGAGACATGGCTGGTACTAATGTGTGTTTGTAGAATAATAATTGGTTCGTAGCCAAAGTGTCCTAGGCCTAGGGGCTAGACCTATCACCATATAAATTATAATATAATTCTTACCTAGACTTACTCGGCCTAGCCTATAAGGCCTAGGCCAGGTCTATATAATTTCACTTTGTTACTTTACACAAGCAAAAAAAAAAGTTCGTGTGTTTTACTGGACCTTATCGACAATAACATACAGGGCTAGATGAAATGAATATTCAATTTATATTGCTACTTAATTTGTCATGAACCTGCAGTAGTGTCGCCCATATAACGCTTACCTATATAGGAACTCTAATGCAGCGTTGTGTAAACGCTCCCTCAATAAACCTTTTCGTCTGGAGCTTCATTTGGAATAAAAGCCTCCCTCTAATAAACGCCTCCTAATTGACTGTAAACCAGGGGTGGCGCCAGCGGGGGGGGGTCGCCAGGGCCCCCCGTCGGGGAGAGCTGCACCCCCACCCCCGTCGAGGAGAAAAAGCATAATTCGTCGGCGAGAAAAAAAAAATTATATGTATTTTCTACATAGGCCCTATTAGTAGACTCTAAAATCGATTAAATAAGCCGTTGAAACCCCTAAATTGTCCAAATTTTCGGAGGGCTTCGCCCCCAGAACCACTTTCGGAACCTTTTAATCCAAGCTCGACCACGCCCACTTTGTTTTCGTCGGGGAAATCTGACCCCTCGTCGGGGTATCCCCCCCCCCCCACATCCGGCACCCCGTCGGGCAAATCCTGGCGCCACCCCTGCTGTAAACAAATCTAATGTGAGCAGCATCATCAGGGGAGGATCTGTGCTCAAATTTATGGGGTCCCAAGGGGTTCAAAATGTTTCCAAAAAACTCCAACAAAAAGTTGAGTACCGGTAGTTGCTTATACGTACAGGGGCCTATTCTTTTTTCCATGAATCGATGAAGTCCAAGGAGAACGGGGGTCGGGAAAATTTTGATTTAGATGGCGGAAAATGATGTGTCTTTTAATGACTTTTAAGTTCTTCAAAATTCAAGAGAACGGGGTGGGGGTAGTGGTCGGGAAAATGTTGATCCCCAGCTGGCGGGAATGAGGTTTCCCGACTTTTGAGGGGTCTTTTAATGACTTTTTAAGTTCTTCAAAAATCAAGGTTTTCCCCCTCTTGAAAACGATTCAATGAATCGATGAACCCTAAAGAGAAAGGCGGTCTGGGTTCTCTCGGGGAAAATTTTGATTCCTAGATGGCAGAAAAAAAAGAGCTTTCCCGACTTCTGAAGTTTTTTAATGACTTTTAAGTTCTTCAAAATTCAAGGTTTACTCGATCCTTTCTTACGTGTTCTGAAAAGGTAGATAGGATTTTCTTTTTTAATACTTTTTTTTTGCCCAAGAGAAAGGGGATGTCAGCATCCCCCGACTCCTGAAAATGACACCTCCCTCGAATAAACCCTTCTCAACAATCGACACCCGGGGGCATTTATTCGAATAAATACGGTAGCCTATTCACGTATTTGCGCTGCCTTATGGTCAAAAAGAATTTATTATGAGGCCTATATAAAATGTAGGGCTTAATGTCTACGGTCCTAATGTCTATGATCCTGATATATTCTAGGTAGAAGATGTACTATTTTTGATTGCAGTCCTATCTTCTTTAAGTAGTATATTGACAATTTATTGAATACCGTATTGTAATTTAATTCTATTGGAGTAAAATAATGTTCTTACTATTATATTTTGCAGTCATTTAGGGTGGGCCATTTATTCGAGGATAAAAATAAACGCGTCATTATTTGGGGGAGGCGGTCTTTTTAAATGAGGTTCTAGTTTGTGTGTGTGTGGAGTGGTGAGGCTGGCGTTTATTTAAAGCGGAGCGCTTATTCGAATAATATGGTAATTCATAGAACTAGATAACATAGTAGTAATTTGAGGTTAACATTAAATTTTGTATGGATGTTGTATTTTTTATTCATAATGCTTGGATTTATAATTTTTTTTTAAATAGAAGGGGCAAAAAATTTAAATTAGCAGATGCCTGGTGGGTTGGGCTTAGCCACCTCAGCGCCACCATGGCTGTGGTTGAGGTACGCATTTCATATGTCTATGGAACATCTAGATAGCCGGAAATGGCACTATCAGACTTAAAATTTGAATGCAATTTTCTTTTTCCTGTATTTAGAGACTCTGCCTTGTCATTTAAGATGAATCCGGGCGTATCACAATGATCTCTGTTATTCGCAGTGCGTCTATAGAGTTTGTATTGTGTAAAAATAGGTTCCCCTTTTTTGGTTACTGTTGTGAGTTTTTAGTGAACTTGCAGTAGGACAGGTCTTATCAGCTTTCTGTGTTGTCAATTCAATTAATAACTTATTGTAATTAGGTATACGGTAGATCTTATAGCATGACATAATATTTCGACTTACTTTTAATTTTTATCTTTAGCTCATGACCCATCCCATCATTCCTCCACCGGATTTACTCGTACTTACAGGTTCAACCCGATTAATTCTTAAAATTTCAATAGACGACAACAATGTGTCTACTTGCCCCCCCCCCACCCCACCCCCACAAGGGGCAGTAAACATTAGTTGCTTCTAATGGTAATTGGAATCATATGGCACCTTAGCAACTATTACTTGCTTCATGCAATTCAAACAACAGACAAAACACAGACGTCGTACCGTACTCATTATACATATCTTCAATGAACAAAATATACCATTCGAGAATTTTGACTAAACGTCTTTATTTTCGATCACTGATTATATACTAATGGACGTCATACTGATAGAGTAGTTTGTTCTGTCAAAAAAATAAATAACTTGCATCAATCATTTCATCAAGCTTAAATTGTCGCACAGTGAGCACAAGTTTTGAATATAACTATAAAACTGTATAATTATTACATATATTTTTTTAATAAATTGTTCTCTCAAGCTTTTGAGCTGCTTAATGTCTAATGTAATTTGTATTCGTAATTATATTGCACGTATTTAATGAACAATACTGTATGTGAAGCAATTCATCGACATGAAATTCATTTGAAGAATTCATTTACATTACAGTGACATTCCGATCACTAGGTGATTCTGATATGTTAAAAAAAGACATACTGTCTGAGTGTTGAAATCAGTGGCTGCTCCCGGAGGGGTGTCAGGGGAAGGGGAAATCCCCCATCGGATTGGACAAGCATGATTCTCCTCATCGTCGTCCAACACCATGTCGAGGACGTTGGACTACTTTTTGCCGATACACACAACATTATTTTGATTGCCAATCCCTACTGTGCTCTAAAAACACAAATTTGGGCCATCCATTAGACCATTTACCACCGGAGATTTTATGCCGGGGCTCTAGACCCCACGGTCGGGCTGTATCGGACCCCCTCTCAGCAAATATCTGGAACCACTACTAGTTGAAATCTTAAGAACTCAAAGAAATTAAATAGGCCTAATTAAATATTCAAATTAAGCAACTAAAATATTGAATTATCTTGTTCAATTCCCGTAGCTCAAGACAGAGAGTATACCTTATAGTAACATTTAAAAACAGCAATGGATTATGATAAAGTTATTAAAAAATACACCGTTTCATGAAAATAAATATATACAGTGTACAAAGTACCAAAATACATTAAATTAACTAGAAAAATAGGCACTGGTTTTCAATTAGTCCGAGGTTATTTTTGTTCTCTCTTCTTATTTTGTATATCTCCCTGCTTAAAACACCTCAATTCGCTGCTCCGTGAGCCTATTAGTGGAAGTGAACTAAGTTTTCTGTAGAACATAACATAGCATATTCTATCTTGTAAGCGAAAATTCATTTGCTGATAATAGGAAATGAAATACAATAAAATACGGTAAACATTGAAGTATGACTTAGAGATGTACTGTCCCCAGAAAATGACAAAACAAATCATTAAAAAAAAAAATTTTTTTGAAAGTAACCTGCATATTTTGACTTAACATACAAACTTGAGCATAAAAGAATGTGTACGGTACCTTGAATTTTATTGTGGATGGGTAATGATTTCTATCATTTTCTGCTGTAAAATTATGGATCAACGTTTTTAAAATACACTAATGTCTATGTTCATGTTGATAATTTTGAGCAAGTAAATTTCACAAAAATGGTTTTTATGATATTTTTGGTATTTTGCATGCATGAGACAATACATCATTTTGAATTATAAAATCTTAATCAATAACATCCTCCGTTAGATCGGTGTAAATGTATAATATTATATAAATAGTATAAATGCGATTACACCCTGTTTCAATCAAGTCAAAGGACGGAGATTAGACATAGACGGAAATGTTTATAATCATTTGGATTACTGCTGGCTCACACTTAATTATTACGTACATCTAAACACAAACAAAATCCTTTTGTTTTATAGGCAAAACTAATGTGAAGTTAAATTGTATTTTATTTGTTTATGTATAGGCCTATTATAATTTCAAAACCGTTTGATTGAAATAACCACAAACTAACGACGCATACGTAGGGTAGCCTACATATACTGTGACAAACGTAACACAGCATGTTCGGCATTTGGCTACATTGAACATGAGGGATATTATTCTAGCCCAAAATACAACAATATAATTAAGTTTGTGCGTAATAGATAATACAGTAGGCCCTAACTAAGATGTATAAAGTTTTATAAGTGGACGGCTATAGTGAGCTGACGTCATAGTAGCGCGTGTAGGCCTACATGTAGTAACCTGATAGTCCATCGCAAGAAGGGGAAGGGGTTAACTTTTCAGCAGGCAAAGTGATGACGTCAGCTCATGAGAAGGATAGGAGCATTAAAACGTTAAAGCCAACTTTCCCTCGTTAATGTACAATTACTGGTATTCTGTATCTGATTACATGAACATCGTCTAATGCTCAATCTATTTACAAATGCTTTTTACATTATATATATTTTATATATTCATTTAGGGATCAAATTTGGTCAACCAAATGTAAACTGCAACAACAGGGCTCAAATGTTAAGCGGAACACAAATATGATTTAATAATATACGTAAAATAGATACAACACCGTATTGAAGGATATAACATTCTTATAAGAACCATTTATTATATCGATAAACACTTTAACTCTGTTCTGCTTATTGACTGTTCAGTTTGTTAAAACATGTGGCATGAACTGATTTAGATTCATAACTCTGTTAATTCCTGGAATTCGAGACTAGGATTTAGAATCCCGATGCAAATCATACTCATGTCTCAAACTGTTATTAATCATGTTGATACTATGCTGAGGTTTTCAAATATTAATGTTTACATTACAACATATTCAAAAATATTAGATGGATGTGCCATATACTAGATGCCTCACATTATATAACACTAAACATAGTGAGAGTTTTAAATATTATGAATTGTTGGCAACCTAAATGATTCATCATCATCTGAGTCGATTTACAGTAAACACGGAATTGAATTCGGCAGATCTACCGCCCTCATTTGTTCAAAGTTTTCATCTTTTCCATCGTAAAAGAATGTTTCAAGCTCCCCCTTTCCCTTAACTCTGACAATACCTCTTCGTTTAAATGTGTATCCAAATTTTCGAAGGATGTCCTTTGTTGATGCTATTACCTGTTGAAAACATATAGATAATAACGGTAAGTATATATGTATTTATATATGTATAGGCCTATATTATATATATATATCTCATTTGAAAAAGTAATGTTGTACCTGTATTTTGTCAAGTTCCCCTGTGCTTTCCATTCGACTTGATACATTGACTGTGTTACCCCAGATATCGTAATGTGGCTTTCGAGCTCCTATGACGCCCGCCAGAATTGGACCGTGGTTGATACCTACGTTTGTTAAAACCACCAAGAAAATACCAGTAACTGAGTTATATTTAATTATAATAATAATACCATATTTGCTCAAGGTAGGATAAGATTTTACTAATTAAAAATCCCAAACATCGATTTTAGACGACAGTTATATAAGTAATATATCTAAATAAAATTTCATAGAGATGCTTATTGTTTCATTAAGCCATATTAAGATTATTCATTCTTACTGTTATTATTACTTCATTTTTTGGGATTTTGTTAATGATGTTTCTTATCTGTTATTTTTTGTGTTTTTTTTTTTTCGATATAGTATTTTAGAATATGATGTTTAGGTGATAATTATAATAACAATATGATGTTTTTGGATTTTCTTCTGGATTTTTATGTTTTCTGTCTGCTTTTGCCAACTAGGATGCTTTCTTTTGTTATTTTTAATGAAAGATAATAAAGTTCATTCGTATTTCGTATTTTTTTGAGTTTCTCTTTTTTATATCCATTTTTATACATTTATTTTATTGTTAATCCATTCTGTAAGTGGCCGTTGGGTGTGATTTGAAATTTAAAAAAAATTATGAGCTACCACAGTACCGTTACTTGTTACTTTCTTTGCTGACGAAAACACGAAGGACAATAAGCCTTTCGTGAGAATTTGACCATCGGGAGAAAATCTTGTTTTTCCGAAGATTTTAACGCGTGTTTACTGTGCACATGGAACAGCATATTGTACACGGAACCAACAGTTTAAACGTCTCACTCAATTACTATTGTAATTTATATTTCATCATCTAGCTGAAATATAGGGAGGGCAGAGATAGAATGGAAACGTGGACCAGGGTTTAAGCGAGGATCCCTCGCGGTTTAGCGCATACACCGGGCCTTAGCTTCCAAGTCTCCCGGATTGTCTCCAGGAATTTGGTTCATCACCTGGTCTCCCGGAAATTCCACATTTTCTCCCGGAATTTGAATTTCTCTTGGATTTCTCCAGGATTTTCACAATTAGGGCTTAATACTAAGCTAAATTTTCCCACTCTTATGCATTAAATTTGGCAGACTTAAGATTTATTGAACATTCTAGGCAGCAACCTAACTGCGACCTAAACCTGCCCAAGCCTGTTCTTATATTGAACAAGGCGATAAATTTGCACACGCGTGTCCAATTTTAGCTAGTTAACGCGTCGCAAACCTCTGCCTGTCCTGCACGAAAAATCTCCAGGAATTTGACTTTCACAACTTGGTACCCCTGATACTACCAGTTTAGTATTCTGCAACTTTGCATTAACTTACCTATTCTTAGAATAAAATTATTGAACGATTGGTTATTAATAGTTTCCAATGTTTGCTTCATTGTAAGTGCAAACTCTAAAAGATCGGCCAGGTGATGCCACGTCACTTTGTCATCTTGATAAACCGCTCTGAAGTTATCAGCAGCCAACCCAGACGCTGCCATATACGTGCTCGATATCGTTTTAATCTTTGTAACTGTCCTGAATTGTTGTCTGCTCAAAAGCTAGACAGAAAAAAATGTATTGTTTTTAGAACACATTTCTATATAGAATTCGCCAAATACAAAGCTGAACTCCATGTATATTATAGGCCACAAAAGGGATGAAAAAACAAAACAAAACAAAAACCAAAAATCGTATAAAATGGGATGATTTAACAAAGTAGAAGATCATATTCAAAAACAGCAAAAAATAATTTCTGGTCGATGTGCATCACACCGCGATAGTCTGTAGAAGACTTATTTCCAGTGGCGTTCTGGTGGTGAGTGGACAATACACTGGGAGACAATCCTATTCTTTTCCGAAAATGTACTGAATTCTTTAACGTGGACGTCCACATGGGCCATAATGCACACGGAACCAACGGCTTAAACGTCTTATATCTCCATGTATGGTTCAGCGCACATACGGTAGTGGTTACCACCAGTTTAGCTGACTGAGCTAAGCTACTAATTTATTTCAGTCTCACCTCATCAAAATCGCTGATAATTTCGTTTAGAAATCTAAGGCATTCCGTTCCTTGGTTGTTGTATTCATCTTCGCTATAGAAATCGGAAAAATTGGGAATCGAAGCAAACATCACACCGACGCTGTTGTAGTCTTGTGAATACAGTTCCTGTAAACATAAACATTAGAATATTAAATAGACAATTTGCTTCAACACATTTTTAATTTAGTATCAGATCAATGACTTGGACTATTTTAGATTTAAAGGTAGATTTAAAGCGGCATGAACGTTGCGAGCGATTGACTGATGAAATTAACATTGTTGATGAGGCAGTACACAATGGTAGTGAGGGTCATCAGGAGAAGTTTCACCAAGTGCGTTATCCTGTCTCTTATACACATCTGATGTGTATAAGAGACAGTACATACTTAGGCCCGTTAATGTCTGAAAAACTTAAGCCAAAGGGACAACCAATATTGTATAAACATAAGCTATTTACCCAGTTCAATAATCGGTCACCCGTCCCCCACCTCCCAGTCATGATTCAGTTTAAGTGCATATACTCCTACCACCTGGTCTAGCTTCAGAAAACATGATCAGATATTTAATAAATTATAACCAATCATATAGGCCTACAAAAAACCATCACTTACAACTAAAACCGGAGGATTGGAAATAGGAGTTGTTTGAGTTATCAGACCAATTCTTGAATTTAACAGGATTTGTATCAGGTCCCCGGAACTGGAGGCCAATCACGCAAAGCAAGTAACCAAATAACAACTTTACCTCGTCTTGCTTCTTGCCACCCATAAAATGCTGTGCCACGTGCGCTGGCATGATATTACGAATAAGTAAATCATTTTTGGTACGTAATTCTTCTACTTTCTGTTTCTGGATTTTCGCCTCCGTTTTGAAATAAAAGAGTCTTCGAATCATGGCATCAAGCTGAATAATATAAAACAATATGCACATCTGTATTAGATTCTAATGAAGCATTCAGCACACCAGTGTTTACCAATTCAAATATGGCAAAATTTGTAGAAATCAGCTGAATAATACTACTTACATGTCGATTGAAATACAACAACGCAACTGACGCCACTACAACTTGCAAAGTTAGAGCATATTTGCTGCAGCTTGGTACAATATTCTTATTTTCTCTAAAGAAATAACATTTGAAATAGAGTTAAAAGTTACTACATTCTGATATATTCCAAAATGCAATTAACTAATAATATAACAAGATGGTAATGTTAATGGATCTTTCCGGAGTCTCAATCAAACTTAACAACTGACCAATCAGAACAGTGCAAGGAATACGCGCATGCAACAAACACACGTGTTCCACAAACGCACGTGTTTGCGTATGCTTTTACACTGTCGTTTTGTGGGACTTTAGCAACAATTAATATCGAAGAGGCGGGGCTTAGCGTGATGGTCCATTTACATAAAAATGAGGATCTCTCACTAATCTTAACCTTGATTCACTCTCTGATAGGAGAACATCTCACTGTCTCAAGTTTGCAAAAAGTCTTCCAATCACGAATCATTCCTATGATCTCATCCCACCTACCTGTTTTGAAAATCACGATAGGAACCTACGTAATAAGGATAATATTACCCAACTTAATTCTAAAACGAAACATTTCTCTAATAGCCCAATTCCCTATTATATCAAACTTATTAACCAACAACAAGCTTCAACCGGTAAGATGCCCATTCTGTTTATATATCCAGTTGCTCAAATCAAATCAAATTATTGTCAACTTATTGTTAAATTATTGTTAAATTTTTGATAAATTTTTGTTAAATTATTGTATTTTTATATTATCATTATGAATTTTAAATATTTAAAAATTATAATAATTATTGTAATTATCTCTTGTACATAACATGCAATTTGGTCTTTGGCCACCATATGTTATTAATTTTATGTGATTTTTTTTTTAAATTAAGTGATATATATCTGAAACTTACGTTATATTTAACAGATAGTTGTCATATCGGGAATAAAGTTCTGGTTTGAGGCAAAGGTTGATGAGGCAGTACACAATGGTAGTGAGGGTCATCAGGAGAAGTTTCACCAAGTGCGTTATCTGAATCAGCACTGTAATACCAATCTAATAATACAATTAAATACATAGTTAGTTATACTAAATATGTAAATGTTCGAAACGTTTTAAGAGCTTGAATTTATACAATAAAATATTTTATATATTTACAAAACACTTTAATTTAACCATAATGCTGAAATAGCTTTACTGAAAACTGTTCTATAGAGTTTTAGGATTGTGGAAGTTCAATGTAGGCCTACGTATAACATCATGCTTTATTGAATTATTAACATTGTAATGCTTCCATTCTTCAATTAAATCGAGGTTCAGGATATGTACATACAGTATGACATCCCGCGTTATATCGCATTGTAGCCGGTCAACAGGGCTCGTGTATTATGAATTGCTACGTATCAGGCAAATCACATATCACGGAGCTGTTCAGCTGATGTCGTTTACACTTGGGACCACCCCAAGAATAAATTGTATATCTCGTGCCCAGATCGCTCCGAAAATTATGTTTACTATTTAAATAGCAATATATTACTTCACCAAGTACGTATACCATGCTATAACACTTCAATACGCAATATTCATAATATTAAAATATCCAGTTACCAAAACAAGTATAGCAATGTAGTTGAAATACTGTGCGTAAACACACTGGGGGTCAGTTGGACTAGGAGTGCTTGTATAGTTTCCATCAGTTTGGCAGTATATCTGTTGAAAAATTATTCCCACACAATTTAAAAGCATCCACATCCAATTATGTAAAAAATCAATTAATCAATTAGTGTTTCATTAGGACTACGTCTTGTTGACATTGCTGACTATTAAGTAAGTCAGAATTGATTAGCTCGTAAACCGTAAATGCTACTATCAGAACATTACTTGAAAGCAATTACTATGAATGAGTTGGACAATGAACGTTTTTTCTTTTTTCAATTAGAATATGTACTGACTTGTTTCAGGAAAAAATAGGTTTGAAATCAGAAAAGAAAATAAAGAATGCGTATATTAAAAGCTGTATTCTATTACATTAAAAAATAAAATTTGGAGCTTAATTGTAAATTAAAAATACAACTACTCATATATGTTACTCATATGTCATAGGCATATATGTTTCTTTGGTCATTTGTAATTTTAATGCTGGGACTTCTGATGTAACGGGTTTTTTTCTGTAGTGGCGCAAGTTGGAGGAAGGGACCATAGCCCCTTTCCCCTCCCTGCCCTATGAGAGAAAATAAACATAATTTGTCGAGATGAAAACAAATCTATGTAATTTTTACAAAATGTAGGAATCGTTTAACCCTTTCAAATTCATAAATTGTCGGAGTTTCCAGGGGCTTCACTTCATGGATCCTCATTGTGAGGGGTCCTGGTCTTCCCCTGGCTCCGCCCACTTTATGCTACTATCGTGGAGCTTATACAATGCATAATATACATTTTAGATGTTTTATACAATTTTGTTTACTCTATTTGATAATAACATTTAACCCACCCCACCTGCATATTGTCTTATTTAAAAATCAAGGTACGTAAAAAATAACGAGATTCTGATGTTTTAATGGATTGTAATAATGGATCCAGAATGACAAATGTTGAAAACAATTTGAACAGACGTATTGCAGGTGAAACTAGAGAGCAAAATCCTATTTATACCCAGATGTTACGTGTATCGTAATCAGCACAATCCATGAACATTTTCACAAGAGAGAGTCAACAGGAAAATTTGCTAAGTCAATTTATGAACGGTTAACACCAGAGCAATTGCTCGGGGTTTGTAATGGCTTGACTCAAGGTGGTATACGTTTAACATCAGTGAAGAATTTATTTTACATGAAACGTAATAAAAATGTATAAAATATAATTTGTGTTGAAGATTTTTGGTGGAACGAGCTCGAGGTTAAGAAAAATCGGATTCAAGTACCGTATCTACAACATCAGCAATACTTATTGCGCTAATGACCAGCGTTGAAATCAGAATTCTCGCCCATCTTGTTGTTTCTATGTCATTGGAAATCTCCACCATTGCGGGAGGAAAGCGATTGGGAATGTTAGTGGCAAGAGATATAACAAAAAGAATCCCCAAAACTAGCATCGCCATTCCAAATGTTATGAAAGTGACCTCTAACCTATAAAGAGTAAAGCAAAACAAAACGTTATTTATTAATTTTTCTCTTCCTTGTCACACTGCTGAATCTAGAATAATCTTCCCAGGGGCGAATCCAGAGATTTTCCGACGGGGAGAGGGGGGCACAATATGATTTTAATACTTAAAAAATTAATATATAAAAGCAAATAATAAATACATAGCTTCTTGCCCTCTATGTATTTAAACAAGCCTACACAATATTAAAATATTTTCACCGTAACATAAGCCTATGGACATAAAAAAAAAAAACCTTGCCTATATATTATGTTAAGCTTATTCTTTAGTGTAAATATAGACACATGGCAAC